GCCATTATAACATTTTACCCTGTATCTTATTAACGATTAGTATCCAAGCCTAGTGCAACATACCACAGTGTTCGGGAGAGACTCGCCTAGCCTGCTATAACAATCTTACCATGGGTTGTCCACCGAATTTTTGAAATAAATAAACTTGAAGACACTAACCCCCTCTATCGTCAGATTTCTCAGAGAATTCTGGTAAAATCACCAAGGTCAAAATCACTCCGCCGCCAGCTTAAAATGAGATTTCCCACTGAACTCTGACATGTTTTCAGATAAATTAGGACCTACCCTATAAATATTTAGTCCCGATTCACTTCCCAAACGCTAGATGGCGCTCCAATGGGGTAGGGAAGGAGAAAATGACTTTTTATTCAGAAAACCAAATCACTAACGGTAACCGCTAATGTCCTTACTCAGGACTATATCCTAATAGTAAACTGAATTAGTTTGTTTTCTTCCAACATGGTTATATTAGCATTGTAGGCATTATCCCAATCACAATGGTATATAACAATCCTATATTTGAGAAAAAGCACGGAGGAAAAGTCAATCCTTATAGACACAGGTCCTTTTAGCGAAATTCAGGAAATTTGATTTTGAGATTTCTTGAAATTTCTTTGGGGTAGGGGTACACCTTACAGATTGCATCACAGATTGAGTACACCCAACTGAGGTGAACATGGCCATATGGGGTATCATTGGAAAGCGATTTCTACTATCTTTCAAGTGATATCCATGCCAAGGCGTTCAAATGCATCTTATGACGTCATATTGGTAGGAAGAAACAAAGGTTCATTCAAAACTGCCCCGAAAACAATTGAATGGCACGGGAGAATGGAATTCGGGGTACTTGGCACAGTGGCCTCGCCCCCAAAACACCAAAATTGCTTCAAAATGTCACGATTTTGGTAGCATTGTTCAGCTAAGATACAGCCCTTTAATATGATATGCGCTATTAGGCTTCTCAATGAACTAAAAAACCTCAAAAAGGGATAAAACCTTCAAAATGCCCCAAAAAAGCGCCTTCTATTAGGTTGAAGATCACAGTAGAGTTTCCCATAGGTGGCCATTATAACATTTTACCCTGTATCTTATTAACGATTAGTATCCAAGCCTAGTGCAACATACCACAGTGTTCGGGAGAGACTCGCCTAGCCTGCTATAACAATCTTACCATGGGTTGTCCACCGAATTTTTGAAATAAATAAACTTGAAGACACTAACCCCCTCTATCGTCAGATTTCTCAGAGAATTCTGGTAAAATCACCAAGGTCAAAATCACTCCGCCGCCAGCTTAAAATGAGATTTCCCACTGAACTCTGACATGTTTTCAGATAAATTAGGACCTACCCTATAAATATTTAGTCCCGATTCACTTCCCAAACGCTAGATGGCGCTCCAATGGGGTAGGGAAGGAGAAAATGACTTTTTATTCAGAAAACCAAATCACTAACGGTAACCGCTAATGTCCTTACTCAGGACTATATCCTAATAGTAAACTGAATTAGTTTGTTTTCTTCCAACATGGTTATATTAGCATTGTAGGCATTATCCCAATCACAATGGTATATAACAATCCTATATTTGAGAAAAAGCACGGAGGAAAAGTCAATCCTTATAGACACAGGTCCTTTTAGCGAAATTCAGGAAATTTGATTTTGAGATTTCTTGAAATTTCTTTGGGGTAGGGGTACACCTTACAGATTGCATCACAGATTGAGTACACCCAACTGAGGTGAACATGGCCATATGGGGTATCATTGGAAAGCGATTTCTACTATCTTTCAAGTGATATCCATGCCAAGGCGTTCAAATGCATCTTATGACGTCATATTGGTAGGAAGAAACAAAGGTTCATTCAAAACTGCCCCGAAAACAATTGAATGGCACGGGAGAATGGAATTCGGGGTACTTGGCACAGTGGCCTCGCCCCCAAAACACCAAAATTGCTTCAAAATGTCACGATTTTGGTAGCATTGTTCAGCTAAGATACAGCCCTTTAATATGATATGCGCTATTAGGCTTCTCAATGAACTAAAAAACCTCAAAAAGGGATAAAACCTTCAAAATGCCCCAAAAAAGCGCCTTCTATTAGGTTGAAGATCACAGTAGAGTTTCCCATAGGTGGCCATTATAACATTTTACCCTGTATCTTATTAACGATTAGTATCCAAGCCTAGTGCAACATACCACAGTGTTCGGGAGAGACTCGCCTAGCCTGCTATAACAATCTTACCATGGGTTGTCCACCGAATTTTTGAAATAAATAAACTTGAAGACACTAACCCCCTCTATCGTCAGATTTCTCAGAGAATTCTGGTAAAATCACCAAGGTCAAAATCACTCCGCCGCCAGTTTAAAATGAGATTTCCCACTGAACTCTGACATGTTTTCAGATAAATTAGGACCTACCCTATAAATATTTAGTCCCGATTCACTTCCCAAACGCTAGATGGCGCTCCAATGGGGTAGGGAAGGAGAAAATGACTTTTTATTCAGAAAACCAAATCACTAACGGTAACCGCTAATGTCCTTACTCAGGACTATATCCAGTGCTAATGACACCTGGATTTGCTGAAGTGAAGATTTCCCAGTTTAAAAACAAAATAATTTTCAAATGACCATACATAAGTAGTTGAGAGTATACATAATGTAAAATATCCAAAACTTAAGGGTTGTATACTGGTATCTAGCCATTATTGAAAAGTATCAAGGTGGATTGAGGTGACGCGGCGCAGCCAAGCGTAGCTGTTCAAAACGAGGCTGCAACGCGTTACAGACCAAAATGGAGGCAACTCCGATTATCTGAGCCACTTCGTCCTCCATTTCCTCGAAACATGGGCAAGTTTTTAAAAACTCGTGCTTCACATTCGGTGAACAATCCCTCAAGGTATGTTAATCCATAGAAATTTCTGATCAAGCGTTGACCAGTGTAAAGCAATAGTCAACACAAATGATGATTTCCCGATCCTATTTTGTTGAACTGTCTTCTAATTCCAATACATTAAGGTGGTATTTCGCCAACCATGAGCAAATGCAACGTTGGCATTGGCATTACGCATGTAGAATGTACCATACAAATTAAGAAGATCGGGTCTCCTAAAAACACAATTAGAGTAACCCCCTGATTTTTTCGTGTTATTTGATGTAAAACAAGTTTGTTTATCAACTTATCAATTCTGAGGCTTGAATTAATTCGTTAACAGTATCAATTCGATGATTGTTCCTAGCTATGAATTTCTACTTACATCAATAGAAATTTAAATTTAAAAAGCCCGCTCAAATTTGTTCCATCCAGTCTGATTGGCTTTTTCCTTCAGATTATTTTGGCTTAGAGAAGCCATATTTATTACTTTTAAGGGGTTACAATATAGATAAATCCAAAAAAACATTGTATTCTGTTTTCGACTTATTGCGTTCAATTCTGACAGTTGGTTGTTCTTTTGGTTGTCCTGTTGATATCCTCAATATATTGTCGATATCGTGCTTATGATTTGGTCTCAAGATATATCTAAAGGTATATATGATATTTTATGAGCAATTATATTGGGACATTACTGATTGTCCAGAATATAAATCTGGACGACTCGATCTCTTTAAGATTGAAACTCCTGTTTGTTTTTCTCGCAATCTGCTTACAAAATTGAACTCGCCGGAAACGCGGCACAGTCATTTTATGCAACATGGCAACGAGTCGACAGCATAGATTATATCGTATTACGGCAACGCGGCTCAGGTACCAACTTTCTCTGAAATGTAAAGCTCAAAGTAGTAAATATGATTTAAGTGTTTCTATCGAGGTTTTTGTTGATGTAATCTTGCATCTAACACACTTTTTCAGCAAGAGAAGATAAAGCACTGGAAATATGTCCCTGTACTGAACACATCTAGAATTAGTAATAAATGTCGTGGGAAACTGAAACTGATATGAAATTCACATCACCATGCAACTAGTTTAGGGGCAGACCAACGCACCAAAAAAGCCAAAATTATAAGGCTGGGGGACATTGATTTAACTCCACCGTATCCTACGTAACTTTATATATTTATTTTATACCAAATGTAATGTAAATAATGTTCATGTAAACGTGTATATATAAATGTGCTTATGTTTAAAAACTCCAATTACAAATTGGGAAATAAAAGATACATACATACATACAATAGAACATCAGCTTCATTGCTGGCACCTCGTTTCCAGTTTTGTCAATGATGTATGATGCCTGAACCCGTGTTGCCATAGTGTCTGCACTGCGTTTCCAAAATATGTTTGGTTTACGATCCAGAATCGGTTAACAGGACGCAAACAGTGATCACACTTTGAAATTATATATATTGCCGCGGTGTATAAGTCATTTTATAGACATGTGCCCAGTGACAAAGTCAGAAACACAGAAATAAAGCAAAAGAGATGCTCTGATCGTCAAATTTCCGCATATGATTGACTTTGTGTTCCCAGAATATATTTCCCCGATTGACTAAATTTCAAGAAGCTTCATACAGACATACTTTGTAAAGTTTTCCACCGAATGGTGTATCCTTTAATAACTCATGGATACCCAAACCGGTGTAAGTAGCTTATAAATAAACTTATCGCCAATTCAAAGGTTTCTATAGCAGCCATTTTGTGTCTATACCGCGTTGCAGCCTCGCTTTGAACAGCTACGCGTGGCTGCGTCGCGTCACCTCAAACCACTTTGAGTATGAAGTCTAAAATCAGCATGGTCCTGGAATGGTGATAGAACATCCAGAAGCCATTTATATGTCGAGCACTTTAAATTTTCCGAATTTCTCTCGGTTTTCTCATAGATGATCCGATCTTCTTCCATTTTCCAAAAACATCCCGATTTATATCCCGATTTGTTTTAATTTTCCGATTTCTTCCATTTTTAAAGAAAATATCCTATTTTATACTATGTTAGAGTATATTTTTAAGGTTTGGCAAATAGTTTTAGTGTGGTAACAATGTGCTTTTGAATCCTTTTACACAGTTGAGAAGATCTTCATTGGTAACCTGATCCACTCAGTTACCGCAAGCTGGGCCACTCGATGTAAGTTTGCAGTCCAAGCAGGAAAAGATATCAACGCTGACTCAACCATACTTCCTGGCTATGAGTTCGTTGTAGATGGCTGCTATGACACTAGCGCGGTAAGAGAAAATGCGAACACTCTAGTCTATTTCCTCGTATATTTTAAAAAAGTGTCCAGGTACACAATACAAAGAGGGAAACTATAATCTCGAAAGACCATAAACGTTCACGTTCACCTACATGTACAAGTTCTCTTAAACCGTATACAGCAGTAATTTAACCTTCCTATTGTCATAATATATACTATAAATCTATGTACATTAGTGTCCCTTTAAGTCACGTGATCATAGCAGTGACGTCATTGGTCAGTTCTGAAATAAATTACAGTTGTAGTTGAAGCGTTGTCTTGTTCTTATAAGTTCTCCCAGAATACTCGGCAGTTAAGACATGATGGCAGCGGAAACTAGTGGCATGGTCTATATGAAGCCTTAGAGACAGTGTAGACTACATTTAACTGTATAATTTATGTGTATATGGCGAAATCTGGGTGCAAAGATCGTAATCAGAACTCATTAAATATGGCAGCCCAGGTTCATCTCCATGTGGAATATTGCAAGTACACCCGCACTAGGAAGTGACGTAGTACTGAGCGCATGCGTATAGCAAAACAAAATATTATCACCCATACTCGGAATTTCTATTACACTCATCTTATTAAGAGTTCATATCGCATAATAACCCTTATTATCGGATTCCAGCTGTTAGTAGTATTAATTTGAATAAATTAAAACTGAGTAGTACAGCTGAGTGGACATGTATATGCACCGATAACTAGGTCTATTTTTGCTTAGCTGCCAACGGAAACACACCTTTCTAAGAGACTAGGCTAGTTGTACATAGCTGTAAATAGCACATGGATTTTAGTTCAGATGATCTGCTTGACTTGTTGAATTTTTTCAACAGTCATTTGTTTGCAGTTTTTGGAACTTTTATTTACTAGTCTAACTACAATTGTTTGGACTTATGAACCATTAGTACGGCCACTAGTGCTCCTGAAATAATGTACTTGGACAGGTAGGGAAATATTATTTTCAAGATGGAATTTTGAATACTGAAGGTCTAAATGACCATGGTCTATAACGACCACAGTCCAGGTCTAAATGACCACATGTTAGGTCTAATTGACCACATTTTAGGTCTAAGTGACCACAGTTTAGGTCTAAATGACCACAGTTTAGGTCTGAATGACCACATGTTATTTCTAAATGACCACATTTAGGTCTAAATGACCACAGTTTATGTCTGAATGCACACACCAAAGGTCCAAATGACCAAAGTTCAAGGCCTATAAACCAAAGTTTGACCAAGGTTCAAAATGAGCCGCCATCAGAATAATAGTCATATTAGAGGTCATATTACAGTTTCAGCGAGCATATCCAATTGCATAGCCTCATAGTAGGTTCAAATTAATAGAATCATTTTGTTTTGATTCAAGTTCTAGTAATCTAGTGCTTATAGATTCATGTTCAGCGGTCTATATGTTCAATATGTTTGACTCAGTTTTCGAGGAGAACAAGTCTGAATTGAAGATAACAGACAAGCATGTAAAATCTGTCCATAAATATTGGTCAAAAACATTATCCTAGTAGATATCAAAATATGAAGAAAAGGCTGGAGTAAGCTATCTAGAAAGTAAATGAACTTAAAATGTTCCTAGTCCCAAAGCAGGTAGAAATGTACACTTGCAAAATGGGAAAATGGCATATGCAATACTGGTAATGTGTGTCACATGGACTTTCTGAAATAAAGCTCTTTATCCATGGAAATCGGGTTAACAGCCCTAGATCAAATGACAATACTCGTACAATATTTTGATTAAAACAGCTATTGTTGCTGAACGGGTGCTGAACAAGGATTTCCCATAACCAATTACTGTAGTTGAAACAAGCTCCATGCTTCAAATTTCAATTTGACAAGAGTGAATTGGAGATTTTTCTGTCTTCATACCATTACCAAAACCAAAAAGAGAATACCCCAAGCTGGGCAAAAGAATTGTTTGGTGATGACTCAACAAAAACTTTGAATTTTGTCAAAGACATGAAAACATAGTTTTCTAGATCAAAATCTTTCAATAGATTATAAATACAAGTATTTGACAGCCTTTTGAATAGGCCAGTGAAAGCAGAAACTGTCAGCTGCCAATAGCTATACAACTAGAAGTCATGACAAACAATGTCATTATAGACGATGTCGCTCCAGCAAAACTTACGCTGTAGGAAAATCCTTGTCCAATGACAGGTACGTCAATTTTATTTTTAAAATTAAATCAAAATGGATCTAAAAAAGATGAATGTTTTGACATAACATCAGATCAAGAAAAAAATCTGGAAGTTCACTAAAACAGAAACTTAGGTAAATTACATATACTTTTTGAAGTTTCAAAGTCACCTACATAGAAATATGAAGTATGGTCAAGGTTACCAGAGATTCTGAGAAATGATAACAATATAGCTTAAGATTTCTAAATGGAAAGCAGCTTTAATATTTCTCAAAACTGCGATTTTAAGCAATCGGATGTTTTGTCCATCCTTTAAAAACAGGAGATTCATTTAACTCTTAAACATGCAACAGAAAAGCATAGATCAATTTCTGTGTCACATATTGTTACAGGAGAAAGAGGATTGTTCCCAGAGACTCGTTCTCAATCTAAACTCTAAAAAATCTAAACCTTAACCATTTAGTTGGTATGAATATTTCAAAATGGAAGACATGGTAACTCTAAGAAACATGAGATGGCCAAACGATTATCGATGGTGAAAGTCCATGCTAAGGATGCTTATATGACCATAAGCATACATTCGAGGCACAGGAAATAGCTCCGTTGAATGATATAACATCATTTGAGATCATTACTATCGACCTTGCTTCCCTCAAACTCGTGAAAATACCATAAGCACTATTGTGGAATATTTAATTTGGTTTTGAATCTTTTATTGATTCTCTGATGTCATTAACCTCTCGCCTATCTGCTACTCATGAACATGATTTCAAGTTAGTGAAATATTTGTTTCAAACTGAAGTTTCTGATAAATGGGGAAAAGCCTATTGTTGAATTTTTCCCATCATAAAATGGAGCTTTGTAGTTTTGTGATCAATACAATTGAGATGAACTTGAAGGCCTTAATAGAAATGATAGTTTCTATCAAAATTCTCGCAAAGACTTTGTAGGGATAGAATCAACCCTAGTCAGTAATCTTACTCAAGTTATTGAGATACTTTTGAATTGTACTTTAGTCTGTAATCTGTATATTGAACCTCTACATTTTTTGACACTTGCAAAGGTCAAAGCAGTCCTACATGTATGCATTGATTGCCAAAATAACTCACAAAAAATGAATATAAAATTTGATAGTGATTGGTCCAAGAAGTCGAAATTTAGAATACTAATAGTGTTATCCGAATCAATAGTTACAATAACAAAAAAAAGCAGCCTGTTTGGCTAAAGTTCAAGTCTGACGGGACAGTAGCTTAGGGGAAATAGATTAAACAAAAAATTGTTTCATATGAATGAAAGCCATGGATATGGTAGTGAAAGTATTCACAAAAACTTAGACAATGTTATATAAAATTAACAAGAAAACCACGATGACATTATGTGCATAAAATGTGGGGAACGAGATGGCTAGAAATGTTAAAAGCAATGCAAGATCGTTCAGATACCTTTGCCAGAGATATCATTATTACCGTATAATATCTTCCAAGGAATCAGAATTGAATGTCAGATCAAACCTAGAGAAATTCCTCGATGCATCAAACTAGAAATAAGATTGGGAGATTTTTCCTAATTGAAAGTTTTAAGGTCCAGATAAATAGATTTTGTCGACCAGTAGAAAATTAATATTTCAGGTGGAAACTAAACCCAGAAACTCTGGAAGTTGACATATTTATGCAGATTAAACAGTCAAATAACTTTCCTCCAATTTCTTAAATCAGCCGATTACTGGTTAAAGTGAGACAGAAAAAATTCACAGATATAGCTCTCATAGCCCCAATGTGGCAAATGGCTCTGCGGTATCTATAATTGTTGGAAATGTTGGTCTGTATTAGCCCATCTTATTGCCAAACCATATGAAATTACTAATATCTAATCTTACAGCCTTAATAAAAAAATAATAATAATAAAAAAAGCTAGATAACATTAACGGTGTCCAAATTATTATCCTCAAGTTTGAAACTAGAGGTTTCTGTGACAAACTGGCAATACATGTATATTCATTAAATCAAGTAAAGAAAGTACTTAAATTACTTCCAAGGACCCCTAAAAACATGGGTATGCTGCATGTTCTAATAAACATGACATTAATATTTAGCCTCTGATACAAATTTAGCCATTTTCCTAACTGAAATGTCAAATCAGGTATGTGCTATTTGTTTCTCGATACTTAAAGTCTGCAAAATCAGCATATAATGGAACCATAGATAGTCATAGGTAAGTCAATACCATGTTCTGGTTGTTTTTATAGAAACTTTTACAATGGAAACCCACTAAATAAAATCAATGAAACTTGGGATGTGAATAAGGTTGTACTGTATCTCACATTGAACATTCGGGTCAGAATAGAAATCTCAACTGAAAGTACACAATTAGTCATGTTAATGTCTATTTCAAGCATGTATCCCAGGGTCTCTGAAATAATATGCCATTGGATGGTTGTCAAAGACAGAATGTCAACACATAAAATTGGGTTTCCAAGTTGTTTTCATGAGAATCCATTTAATGATGTTGTACTAGCATTTAGAAAATACCAGAAACATCTGAAACAAACTACTAGTAGTAGAAGGGAATCATAAGAAGGAAGTTTAAATTATCCTTGTCAAATGTCATGCGATGCCATGCATGTACATATCCAGTAAAACATCTCATATACATACACATTAGCAGTTTCTATAATAATACATAAAGGTTTTTAATTTTATAGAATAATAATAATAGATAGATATTTATAAATACATTTAAGTACATTTGAAAGACATATTTAACCAGGTATGCAGTAACAGTACCATAAACTTGAACATTTGATATATCTACAAACCAAGTCATGGGAAATGCAAATTCTCT